AATTAAACGCCGGCAACACTCGATCTAGAGAGATGTAGATTTATATGTAGTAATAGAGTGCTTGAAAAAAAATGCAGATATTTTACGATCGAAGCAAGCAAATAATCATGGAGATCTGCAGATCATTCTAAAATTGTTATCCAGCAGACAGCATGAACAACGCGCTTGAATAATTCTCACGCAACAAATGGTAGCTTAGCGGAGTTTGGCATGGAAATGTTCGATGGCGGTAAGTGACAGAGACAACTCTATTTTAATTTTATTAACTGCGACAGCGACAGCGCTATCTCCCCTCGGAAAAAACCAAAACAGAAACCAGTTTGTCACTTTGAGTTTTGGGGTAGACCCTTTAAACTGGCAAAGTTTCATTGAAATCACTGAGATGGCATGTAACACGAATGCCTCGTGCTCTCGTGGACATGCTCTTAAACCTAAGAGATAAAATAACACAATTCATAAACTAAAGCTCCCGAATCCAGAATCGTGAGTCCCTAGTCCCGAATCCCCAGTCCCGAATCTCGATTCCCGAGGCCCTTATTTCTTCTTTGAATGCTAACGTCAAGAGGAGTTAGTGATACATGAATGAGAGAAAACGGGAAAAACATATTACCAAAATGTTACTTATAAGAACACCAAACATTAACCAAAGCGAGGCGCATTGCTTTAGTTTTATGGGCTGGTTGGAAGGTTTGGCTGTAAACAGATTCGGTTTTTCAAATTATTTCACTTGCCTTCTCTTAGGTTAGCCCGTTGTTGTCTAATGTTCTCTCACCACTCGTATTTATAATCCACGTTGAAAGATTACCCAATAATTTCCTGAAACCAATATGCAGTTCTCGCAATTTGTCGTGCATTAATTTGTTTTATTTAGCAATCTCTGAGTTTCGGAGTCTCGAACATTCCCCAAGCGTTACCCGAGTCTCGACATTCCAGTACACTTCTTCGCGTATGCACCAAATGCAAATATGGCGGACTGTTCGGTCGGCCTGGGTTAAGTTGTATTAGAGTGAGGCTAAACAGCCCTTCAGTATCGACGAATTGCGTGGATCCACTGTTCTCTCCTCATTTGCGTACGGGGAAACTTAAAAAACGAACCATCTCTCTTATGGGAGATTCCCCCCCCCCCTTTTGTTGGCATCCAAGAACATAAGAGCTCGAAGGCATAGTGCAACAGAGCAAACACATCGACAAAGACACATTACTTTTCAAGGGTCGTGTTTTCAAAACAAAACCCGAAGCCTGGCTAGCCTCACTTTGGTACAACTCGACCTGGGCCTACCGAGTAGTCATTTGCATTCGGTCCATGCCAGTAACGATTTGACTCAAAATAATTTGACTATGTAATTTTTTTTATTTGCACTCATATTTCTTCACTCTCAAATGCCGGTAAGGCGGGCTCATCTTCCACGTCTTCTGCAGAATTACATATCATCCTGGCTCGAGCACAAAACTCTCTCTTCCTGATCAGGCTCTGTGTGTTAGAGGAAAAATTTATAAAAGATAAAATTGTCAAATATATATATATATATATATATATATATAATGTTGAAAGAAGTGAAAAATAAAACAAAATCGCATTAATATGGTATTTAGAATAAGAAAAATGGTAAGTTTTGAGCTCAGCAAAGGAATAGGGAAAGATGTTTTTCGTTTTGTCACGAGCGTGGGACAAAGAAAAAAATTTCGAGTCCCCTTGAGGAAACGAACCTCAGACCTTCGGATTCCGCGCTCCGATGCTCTTTCTCATGGGGATTCAGTTTTTTTTTTGTCCCACGCTTGTGACAAGACGAAAAACATCTTTCTCTAGTGTGGTATTGTTGCGAAGCTAAGAATTTCCCATGAAAAAACGAAAAAGAAAGATTTAATATCGGTCTATTTTAAAAGGTCTGACTTATCATGCGAAGAGCTCGTCAAACTGCAACGTAGAATAATTAAGACCAGTGGACTGGATCAACAAGCAAGGAATACGAAATATCTAACCAACCGTGAAAGTAAACCTTGGCTCTCAGTTACAGAGAAGTTTAAGAAATGATCGGAAGCCATGTCTAAATGTTTATTTTACCCCAGCATTGCTATCATTAAGCCATTTAGACAGAGGGAAGAAATTAGCGTTGGCGACGACAGAAATTTTTATGGATTTTTACCGACCAAATTTTAACGTCCATTTCCCTTCATCAAAAATGTTGTTCCTTTAAAAAAGACAGAAAAATCAGCGTGAAGATATGAATACAGAATTACCATGGAGTCCGTTCTCTTTCCATGGCGATTTGGTGAACCCGGTCCCGCGGCGCTGACAATTGATACAGCAACTAGTATCACCAACAGAAAGACACAAACTGCTTTTCTATTCATTCTTGTCGCTCCCGTGTATTTTTTTTTTTGCGGCAAGGAACTTGGTCCACGAAGAGTGAGTTCTAAGCTTTTCAGTCTTAGACCGACCCTTTTAATAGGGAGCAATTCTGTTGTAATTTAAACCACTCAGTTGGAATTCTCTTGATTTAGACACGATCCACAAAGGCAGAAGAATAATTACGCAGCAATTATATAAGGTCAAAAGCCTTTGTCCAGCGCCGAGACAAAGAGAAGTGCCTTTGTGTTCATCACCGCTTTAAAACAAACCCTAATTGATCTTGATAAACGCTTCTCTGCCGACCACACTGAAAGATGGAGAACGACGCCAATTTGGCAGGAAAGATCATTAACACTTCCCATGTACTGTAGCATGACTGAGGCTGTCAGTCAATGAATGATCAAGTTCAAGGTACCAGATGAAATAATTAAAAAAAGGAGAGAAATGAAAATGCTGATAAGATTCTTTGACTTTTCTTTCAATGTTCTTGATGCTGCGAACAGGTGGTGCACGAAAGATCGATGACCAAACAGCAAGATATATTTTTCTCATTATGTTATTTGTTTTTTAGGTCAAACAGTTAGGACTCTACAAGCTGAAAACTATTAGGGGAGTTTCCGAGTTCATGCATTTGATGTAATGTGTGTAAAAACTTAAGGCAAAGTAAACAAACTGGGCATCTGCGTGGGTAGGACTATGCAAAGGTCATTCAATTTGAAAATTGGCGTACTCTGAGCTGCTTCTCGGCTAACACCAATGCATATAACACTTTCCGGCTTTACGTGCAAAATATAGTTTCTGCATGCTTTTATTGTACTCAGAACAGTGGTTAATCCATAGTTTATCAGGGATTGTTGATTGCCTTTCGGTTCATAAATCTTAAACAAATCAGTCTCCATGGTATTGACGAGCTTTGGGCAATGCATTTTGTGAAACAGTTGTATGCCAACTGTTTAGCCAAGCTGGAAATCTCTAAGTTTCTCGTGAGTTCATCCTATTTGCAATGTGTGAGTTGTTATGTAATTTTTTTCGATCGAGAGATTTATTTTGTAAGCACAGTCGAACACATGTTTAAACCTGTCCTTCTCACACTTGCGATTCAGGATGTAATCACCAGTTTATCACATGGCATTTTCGTTTTGAATTTTAAGCTCAGCCTTGTGCTTAAACGACTCTTCTGATTTGTTTTTTTCGGGAATTTTTCTCGATAATAATGAGTTCTCCTGGAAGAATACTACTCCTGAAAGTAGCAAATTATCAAAGTAAAAATTCTACCAACGGAGTCGTTCAAAGTCCACCCCTATCGTGACAACATCTTTAAGTTGAAACAATCATTTTTGATGGTTTTTTGAGCATTTAGCATGATTCGACCTCTCGTGAATAAAGCCTAGCCCACACTGCGGAATTATGAATTCGATTTCAAGGAAAGACCAACCCCGGTGAGATCATTTTTTTCGTTTTGAGCTGTTGTAAAAAATAATCCCAGAAAAATAGTCGGTGTCAGGCAATGTCTTGTGAACTGTATCAAGTCTGAGGGCATAATGTTTGAGTAAATTGAATTCTATAGCACTCAAGAAAAGAAATAACTATAATTTCTGTAGTTTTTTTTTTACGCTATCGCAATCTATTTAGACTTTATGTCCTTCATGAAACTGCTATAAGCGGATGATGACCAACAGCAGTACTCATGAATTAAATATGATGAATTGTCTTTATTTGTTTTTTAGTTGGCCATGTTTCCAAAAGGATCTACAACACGAACTCTATTCCCTACAGATTAAATCAAGATTAAAAGATCTGGCTTAGTTTTTAAATATTTCGTTGAGATAAGCGGAGGGTTTCTTAAAAACTAGTTAAAACCGCAGACCCGTTTCGTGCGTGTACATTCAAGCTCTAAAACGACATCATATCTAATTTGATACAAAAGTTCTCCTTCATGCTCAGTAGTGTAGATTTGGCGACAGTTGTCTCGATGAATGTAGAATAAAATCACAAATTGAACTTCGTAATGTCAGGCTATAGGCACAGGTGATTTTATCCCTTTTCAGTCTCAATTCAGAGATTACTTCAGCCGTGTCTAAGTCGACAATTGCAAAAATTACTTCTTGCCCATAAATCAGTTCTTTTAAAATGCGCTTTTCGTTATTGCCTGGGTTTACTAGTTGCGTTTCCTAAACATTTGGGTAAAACAACGTTTAGAGAAAAAAAAAGATGGACTTTTATTTATCTCTGATTCTGCCGCTTTCAGAATAGAGGGGACCGGTATTTTTTTTCGCAATGATACAAGCAACACTTAGTTAATATGCCATTGATCTTCGGGCGATTCATATTTTTTCCTTTGTCAACGAAATATTTAAAAAACTAGCGAAGAGATTTTGACTAAATTGTAGTCAACACGAAGAATATATGTACTTCCTTTGAGAGGAAAAGTTCACCGTTTTATTCTATCGCAGCTCCGAAACTTTTTCGTAATCTTCTACATAGCCAGCAACTTAACGCTGGTAGTAAATCAGAAGTAAAGTCACTTACATTATGCAACTTAATCATTAACCTCGGCAAAGCGCCGATGCCGTCGATTGATAAAGCTTTCATCCTATTTAAACAAAGCTGGCAACCACTTCATTCTGTTTTAATTAAAATCGTTTTCAATATCACCTTGTGATCGATGTAATTAAGATAAAGATCTTGAATTAATTTAGGTTTGCCACCTGCTACACGATTTTAAATTAAGGCTCTAAAAAAATAACAGAAAGCTGCTTTAAGTGTGCCTGATTAGAAGTCACGAACCTTTCCGGTTCTTTTGATCAATTTATTCAAGAAAGGGTCGGTAATCAAGATTAACTAACCTTGAGAATATTCACATAAAATATTACTGTTAACATTTTTCTTTTCGCTGGAAGAGTTGATCTATTGTCCCAACTGAAAGATTATTGAGCTCAGGAAGGCTGATAGGCTTCTTTAGATCGAACCGAACATAAACTACAAGAACTCGCAAAATCCCACTGATAAATTAAACTTTTGATAAAAGCAGATTTAAAGTAACGTTTACCCAAAGAAAATAATTGTACATGTAATGTTCGCCTCTTAGCCGTGAAGCAAATTGTGAAGATATTTGTTTTTTCGCTTTGAATAGGTGATTAACGGGAGAACAAAAATGCTTCGTAAACTTGAGGTATCTTCTGTATCATGTCTGGAAGTTACTCTATTCGGTTAGTTTTTTTAATTTAATAATTTCCTGTTTTCTCAGTGATGTAGCTGTCTTGACTCATTGATTTGTTTAAATATCAAAATAAAAAAGGCTGGAGCAATCATGAACAGCTCAGGCTAGCTTTAATGGTCACAATAAAAGCTACGTTGGTAAGAATGTTAGAATCTGACAAGGCAAGACTGTATGCCTTGTTCGCCAATTGAATATCCTAACCACAAATGGAGTTAACAACGTAAGTTTGTTCGGTGACCAGTCACTTTTTTTTCCAATGGGGAGGGTAGAAGGATTACGGTTGTGTCAAAACAGAATTTATCTGATTCCCCCATGGAGCTCTGTACTATTGCAATGATTTTCCCTCAATGGCAGTCAATGTTCATTAGTTCCCCCTTGAAACTCCACTAGGGACGACTGATCACCCTCCATTCCCCGATTTGTTGTACTTGGTTTGCGAATCCATTGTAGCTTGTTGCAGCGTAATTTGGTTTCGCCTAGGTGCCTATGCCGAGAATATGCGAATTTAATTCTTGAATTTAGCTCAAATGATAGATTTAAGCTACTTCTCTTTTCGATTTATGGCGCATTATGGAAGTTTAAACTCCCGTAGCCTTACAGAAAACCTGTGATTAAATAAACGTCTTGATCGTAAGTCTCCGGTTTCCTTTGCCATACTCTAGCTTCTTTTCGCAAATTATCAGTATAAACGTTTCAATTTAATTCACGCGGCTGCTTTAAAATTTTTTATTGAAATTTTGCAGGGAAAAATGGAGCGTGGCTAGCTAAAATTGACCCAGATGCGCATGCCCCACGGTTGACCGCTGTATTACTATACGTACTGTCCTGCGGCTCTTCAAATTTACCTCCGAGTCTAATTAGTATGGACGCTCGTAGAAGGTTCGCGAAAAAATGGTAAGAAGTAACCGGAGAATTGAAAGGGTAATTACTCCTATTTAAAAGGAAGTATTTTTGGAAGTCATAAAAACCATTTAACGTACATATATTTCCTCTCCACTTTTAACCTCAAAATAAAGGAACATTCTCTAGGTCGCATTTTCCCTTTTTTGGGCTAATAAACCCCTCTCGATCAAAATTTATGGTCAGTGAATTTAAACGCGAAGCAGCTCATCTGTTAGATATTATAGCTCTTGGGAAAGTGTTCAGTTCATTGTTCTTTCGCTCTTAAAAAGTTTACATTTAACAAGAAAAAAATTAGTTCATAAGTGTTAAAAATAGAAACTGAAAAAGCTTAAATTGCCGTAGGGCTGTATGGCTTTTTATTGTAATATTACTTGTTTAAAACGTCGGCTCTTTTGAGACCAAAATGGTCAGCTAAATTTCGAATGAAACCACCAGTAAATCCATTAGTAAACTAAGAAAGTAAAGCTTATATTTCGAAATGAAGAAGAAAAGAACTAAGTGATCCATATTCCTTTGTTGTTTGTCAGCACAGCGTGATACCACTCGATTGCGCGGCGTGTCTTGAGTTACAAGAGCAACCACGTTTCTTCTGACCCATTAACATTTCAAATAAAGACTGGCCAAAAACTGTATCCAAAATGAGCTTGAGCTACTTCTTCCGTTGGTCAACAACGGCTTCGTGACAATTCACGTTATCTATTGAATTGAAAGGAAATTTAAGTGATATCGGAATGGTTCGTATTTTTGTAATATGATAACAGAAATATTAGAAAAAAGGATTAAAATAGTGACTCTAGCGGATTTGAGGGAGGGCTTTGATTTAACGTTGGAAGACTACCTAAGCGTTTTTATTTTATATATAACATTTTTGTGGGCTAACTGTGTTTATAGGAGAAAGCCGTCCCTTTTGACTCAAACGAAGCAAAACTAGCTGATCAGACTGTTAATCAAATCTTCAACATAATTAAAAGATGCGATGCGTTGGCGCCTTGTGTTGAGGTTTTTTCGGTGGAGTCGGTCGCTCTGATTTTTTTTCTTTACTAATGACAAATTGAAAGTGAAATAGTTAAATTGCTCAGTTATCTGAACAGAGTGTAACCCAAGAAGCGTTCGTATCGCCACTGGTGGTTTCTCTTTTAAACTTCCTGAAAAACAAACAAAACAATGTGTTCCGCCACTTATTTAAATACGTAACTGTTCCTAAAGGAACGCGTTCAGATTTGAGGGGAGGGAGTAAAAGCAAGTACACCTGTGATCATGGAGCCAAGTCGCGTTTTCGTTCTTTTGATGGTTTGGTTCGTCTTTAGCACCATTCTGCTGGATCGAACTGAATCCTTTCATATCAGAAGGAGGAGGTGGCGACGTAGACACGGCAGAAAAAGCGTCATGCCTTCATCTTCCGCTGCAGAAGGCCAAACAACAGCGCCTTTGGAATGGGTATGTGTATCTACGATTTTAAAACAGAACAAATATTTGCTTGTGCACAAAGCTTTTAAAAATAAGAGGGATTAATTTTGTGTAGAAACTAATGCATGCCTTACTACCTCGGCAATAAATTGTCGTCTTGAATAGAAAAGAAGCCTTGTTATTCCCTACTAACATGAATTCTAGACAAACATGTGGCAGTGTCTTAAAAAAAAAAATGCAGTCAAGTAATGGACCCAAAGGAAACCTTCTACGGTTCGCCTATCAGAAAATCCTTATCAACTCTGTATGTGCTGTCGTCCGACTTCGGTCTCGCGACAGTTAAAGAAAGAAAGATTTTATATCTTGGCGCTCAAGGATGAAATATTTTTTCTGCTTTTCAAGTTTCAATTGGCATTTTTAAGAAATTTCACGGTTGCCTTAACATTCTGTAGCCTGAGGCAAAACGGAAGTTTTAACTGAGAAGAATCCAATGTTACGTGGCTCTTCAGAACGTACTTCCGCGAAAAATGTTTTTTGATCAAAATTGTTAAGTCAGTGACGTGCTCCTCGTGTAAATTCAATCATCCTCCTTGGCCTATTCAGTAGAATTTTATTACTAATGTCCTATACCCGTGCAGAATAAGTTCTTTAACTATAGCATAACAGTATTTGTAAAACATTTCTATCGCATGTCAACCGCAAACGCGAAATTAATAGACTTAATTAAAATACTTCGTTCAGTATTTTTGAATTGATAACGTTTTCCCGTTAAAAAAGTGGATCGCCTAGCCAAGAAAATGCTTTTCCCACGGCAAATCATCACACCGCTCATCGGCTCTATTTTTTATACTCAGAGCGTGCACTCAATAAATGACGTGGCCTGAGCATCCTAAGTTATTAGCTTTCGTGGTAAGGAAGCGATAAGCAATGGACACGCTTATTCTCTATTGGTAATTAAGAATTCAGAAAAATTTGAAGCATCAATCTTCTCATTGGTGCGTTTCTTCCATTGAAAAGTGAGAAGGAACTCGATCTCCCATTGGCTATCAGAGGCCCTTCTGGAGGTAAATTGAGGAATGAAAAATGTGGAGAATGAATGGTAATTAAACTTTTAAGCCCTTAAGACAAACTTGGCAGAAATATTTTAAGGGAATTATCTGGCCGCTGGCTTTTAATATGTGTATAAAAGGTGTTCAGGAAAATTAACCTTTCATTCTTTTGCCGCAAGATGAGTCTTCAAAAAGACTGGATCCTTGAAAGAAAGTCAGTTGAAAAGCGCATTTATTCCTCCCTTAGAAATATATCGAATCAAGAGAGGATAGAGTGCTTGATTCAAATGATCCATTTAGCCATTGATCACTACTGAGCTAGATGATAAAAAAAGTTTTTAATTTCAAAGAGAAACGTGAATGCAAGAACAGTTAAGGTTTTTGTTCTCAGAAATAAGCAAACTTTTGTGAGTTTGCAAAGGACTGCAACGAAGGAAAAACACAAGTGAAAACTACTTGCACAAAACTTTTTCTGCATATTAAAAAATCGTTTTTTTCCCCTTCTCATCGCCGTTACTTTTGCCCACTTCAATTCGAAAATCGTAATCAAATCATAGATAAATGCGAAACGCGTTTGTATTTTTATTCCATGATAGAGGAGAGGTCATTGATAACTGTATAGTTCAAACTATTTTTCTGGTCGTTAGTCTGTTATTTCTTCACCTTTTTGTTGCCGTCGCCGTCGAAGCTCACGTAAGATCGTTAATGGTAATGTAATCGTAAAGTCTTCAGCTCTTAAGATCTCACCAGAAAAAACCTCGCATAACTGTACCTTTGATTTAAATTGTTTTCTTTTATAAGGATGGAAATGAGGTTACTGAAAGTACCCCTCCGGGATTCAATCGCAGAGGATAATGTCTTACCATGAGGAAGTGGATCTCCTACCAGCGCAAGACGAATTGGCATTATATAGCTAATGTACCTTTTACCATCAAAATAAAACAATTTGTATTGTAAAAAAAGCATATCTGTAAACTCAGAGTAAGGAAGGAATAAAAAGGCCAATTGAAATTGATCGAAATTATTCCTCTTGGTATTTTGCTCACCTGCACTTTGAAATTAAGCCATAATTGAATTCGCCGCGCAATGGTTGATTTTCTTTAGGTTCACGAGAAAGAAGACAGAGAGTAATACTTCACAACCCTGATTCTAGACTTCCTCCATGTGGCTTACAGAGCTACGTTTATCATCCGTATCTTGAAGCAGAAATTACCTACCAAGCTTGCCATTTAAAATGCGTCCTAATCATCTTCATCGTAAACGTCATGTTTGCATCTTTGTCCGTTATCTTTTTTTTTCTTAAATGAAAGTTTCTCCTCTTAATAATTTATAGCGTATGTCCAGGATGTTTTTTTTTTTTTTTTGCGGACTAATTTCGCGGAATCACAGCCTACCCTTAATTAATTCTTCCGTTTAGCCAAAAGTATTATCCCTCGCTATATATTCAAGACTGTAATGTACACCAAGAAAAAGTTGACACTAGTCAAGAAAAAGTATTTTATTTGGCATGATCCCAGTAGCCTATTTCGCCAGATATAGTATAATTATTAATATATGTTTGTGTGTCAGTTCTTGGCCGGTTGCCCTGGTGACGCGGATGTGAAACACAGTCTTTTATTAACAACGGCGCTAATGGTGAAAACAGAGGCTGATTTAAAGCTTATCTTAAGGCTAATTTTTAGGTTTAAGATAGAAATATCTCCCCCGCGATGTTATTCGATCGCATTTGTACCAATTTAGTATCAAAGGGACGAAGAACGTGATTCACTTCAGATTCACTGTAAAAGGAGGTAAAATGGGACTCCTACTGTTCGGCGCTAAGTGACAGCAGAATCACGCTTACGCGGACTCGCATGGGAAAAACGAAAAATGGTTCGAGTTAGCGGGAGTTCGAGTTACTGCGACTGGTGCTGAATTTTAATAAGGAATCGTGTTCAGTTATACCATCACTGGGTCGTCTTGCACAATCGACAGTCATTTTCGAACATTTAGTTTGTCTCATAAGAACTTTTTTGTAATAATTTTTTGGCTTGGGAAGTTTCGCTAAATGTATCACGTTTTCGAAAGTGATGTCATGTTCGTATAAGTTGCAATTGAAGGTTGTACAATTACAATTACACATTCATCGATCGACGTTTTTACTTACCGTTCGATTTATCAGAGTAAGTTTGGGTCAAGGGAATAGGAATCTAAGTCGAGTTTACAGGGAATTCGAGCTAAAAGTCCGAGTTAAGCTGATAGTGAAGGAGTGGAAAAATGAGGTCAAATTCAAAGGAAATCAAATCTAGTTAGAGTGGGCTTGAGGTTTGAGAATTAACTGAGTTCGAGTTGGTGGGGTTCTATCGTATTGCCGCTTTCCTCTGCACATTGCACAAAGTCAGGTTTATCGTGGCTATAAAAACTGCATCAAGCAGTAAGCTTTAGCTTAAACCTACAGAGATTATTCAATTTATGCTGCATTTATGAGGACCACGCGGAAAAGAAAAATAATAAATGTAAACTGGATGGTCAAGTAGGTGTACTCATGCTTTGCATCACAGCAAAATTTTATTCTTTAACAACTCATCTTTAATGATAGTGACGTTATGAAGTAGTGTTTCTTTTTGGGTGAGCTGTTAATAAGGCTTCAAGACTATTGTATCAGTCAATAAAACGATACCATTCCACTTTCTTTGTTACCACCGGATGAAGTACATAGCAAAGATTGGGAAAAGTTCACTTTGAAATTTTACACTTCTTGTAATTTTTATGAGCGCGTGAAGTCGAAATCATATCGTTAAATACTTTTGGCACCAAAGGTGTAAATCTATAGCATCGTTTTAGGATTTTTAGCCTAGAGTATGAGACATATCACCTTAGCTTAAGGAGCCACGGATCAGGTGCTGTCAAATAAGGATGTTTTCTTTACTTGAAACAAAGCTGTGACAGTTTGTCAGACTGGGAAAAGCTCTCAAGATGTGAGAGTCAATCAAAAGGGCAACAAAGATGATGAAAGAAAAACATGGATTGCAGGTGAAAATATTGAAAATGTTCAAGATGAGTATACCTTGTGGTAGCTGTTTCTTTACTTCTCTCAAAACGGAAAAATTATCCTCTTTGTAGAGCCATTTATGATTGAATAAAAGCACTAGAAATATTAAAAAATGGTGGAAAATACCCTCATTAAAACACTAAATATAGTGCCCAGCACTTAACGCATCTGAGAATCAGTTATTGTTAGCGTTTGTGTGCGTCATCGTTCTGTTGTTTCTCTTAATGGTATCAAGTTAAAGACCGGAATGTCTTTTGTTCCTAAATCGTCATAGACTTGAACGGCAAGAGGAATAATCTTTGGTTTCGCTTCATTAACGACAAATATAGAAAAATTGTTCTGGAAAAATGACATGCCATGTAAAGAGGGGGAAGTTACTCGTGATGGCTATTTTAAAACACCCAGCAGGTTATCAACTTAAGGTGCTTGATAAAAGCAGATAAAGTGATCGATTTCATCAGTCTCCTTATAACAAATTTTTTTCACTGTTTGCTTCCTTTCTTGGAATTAACTGAGTCTTTTGTTTCTTTTTCGGGTGGAAAGAGAGCAAAGAACTCAAAAAATGTAAAAGTAGAAGGTTTTTTTAAATTTTTTTTTCTTTCATCTTTTCTGCATTTAGCTTGTCTGTTCGGGATAATTTTTCTCGTCGGCCTATCTGTATCATTTTAGAACGGCTTCTGACGCGCCTTTAATTTTATAATACAGGCAACAATTTAAGAAAGTCGAGATATTAAAAAAATTAAAGAAATTCATGATAAAAAGGTAAAGCTGAGAATAAAAATACACAGCCCACAAAAAGGTTTGAGCCAAAAAAAACCGCAAAATGAACTTCAAGATTTTTTTTATTTCTTATTTCTTGTTTACTATTGAATGCTAGTACAGACTTATAATCATATTATCTATTATGGTCGTGAGATAAGAGTGAGCTTTTACGGTGTTTTCTTTGTTCAAGAGGCAATTCTATGCTCTTCCAGTTAAAACTGCCCTTGTAATCGGTTTTCTTCTACTGACGGCATATCGTCCTCCGCAAAGCTTGTCTCATACATCTATCCACAAATTGTAAAAAGGAAACGAAATGAGAAGGATGGTCATAAATGACAATTACGAGGAAACATAATGGTAACCTGCCCAAAGTAATGTTTTCATGCGTTAAATTGCCCACCCTCTGGTAGAGGCACTAAATCTAAGAATTTTTTTATCGCATTTGGAAAGATTTTAGAATTTTTCTATATTTTTCGTAAGAGACATAAAAACGTCCTTTTTTGGGGGGGGACTTGAGTTTACCGGTACGTCTCAGGATAATGATTCTCCCTTCACTCAAATTTCTAATGTAATGAAATACATCCATCTTGACAACTAAAAGCTATCGAATACACACGATTGGCATCAAGAAGAAAGAAAAATCACAATTTCGAAACATTTCTGTTTACTTTTGGAGGCATTACTTGAAATATATCTTGTCTTTTTCCAAAGATATATTTTTTTTATTTTGAACCAGATGTTACCTTCAGCATTTCCTCTCTCCGTTGAGAGTTCTGTAAGGGACGAATTTCATTCTTCTCTATCCATGAATCCCTCTTTCCACTCGATCTTCTTCGTCCTATTCTTACATTAAGAGCTTCCACTCCTTCTTCAAGGTAAGAACTTACAATTACACAAATCCCCACTATAAGCAAAACTCTTTGCCAATCCATTGTGTCCCTTCTGCAAGAGCGAACGTGCAAAGATGAACCGATCAGTGATTCTGTGCGCTTTTGTGCTTTAGTTATCAGCTTTTATTTCCAATTACAAATGCAGCCAACAGAGCCTCCGTATTTGTTTTGGATAATGAAGGCATATGAATAAATGTGCTATAATAAAATCTATTTCTTCCTGCGAACAGCTGTCCACTGTCACGAAGATGCTGGGTCAAGATAGAATGAATTGAATTCTTATTGAAATCTAAAAATGGACATCAAAGTTCCGTGTTCACGAGGCCTACGTAAAATCAACATATTTCACCGCAAATAAAGGGGAAAGCGTTATGAAATTCAAAGAATATTACAGTAGAAAAATGATGATTGAAAACTGTCATATTACTTTTTCAAATTGATTATCACTTATTCATCAAAGCTTCAATGACTTACAACGTCTTAGATTTTGTAATCGTTCAAACGGAATCTGAACTTTTTTCGTTGCGTTTAATTCATTTTCTTTCACTACAGCTATTTCTCTGAGAAGCCTTTTGATACTTTCTGCCATGATACTTACCTACGGCAGTTACTCCAACACAGTTTTACAGTTAAAAACAAGCCGGCTGTAACGAACTATATACCAATTTGACCTTATCCATTGGGTCTACGCGCTAGTTAAGACGGAAACATCGTTATCTCTCTTTCGATGCAAAGGGTTTGACCTCCATCAACATCCTGTTGCTATAGAATTCGAACTGAAAATTAACTTCCTTAGAGGAAAGCGGGGCGTTTGTACTCATATACCGCTCAATTCAATTACGATCCCCCACTGGCGCCATTTCTGAGCGGCAAGGCTTCCCACGGCTACAATCTCCTAACATGTATACACCTATTAAGCAAAACGGCAATTAAGTGATGAATAATCGGTATATTCTCTTACCAAAGCAATAAAATAAAGTAGATCGTTGTGTTACTGAATCCTTTAATTTAAAGAGACAGACGTACTCCATAACAATTACTTTTGACAAATTATCAAGATGATGTGCCTTCATGAAATATTACTGACATATTAACTGCTATAGAATAATTATATTTCCCTGTCAACGAACGAAATTTTCGAATAATTTGCGCTATGGATCTATTAAAACGAAATTAACCTTGTGGCATGCAATTAAAAATCCCTCAGATCTCAAACTTCTCGAGATCATCAGGTCTGCTTTGTTTTCAAGTGCTTCATCTCAACTAGTATTGAAACTCCCGAACGTTAGGTAAAAGATCTCAACAGTAAAATTCAATATTTATATCACAGCAAAGGTA